TAGTTTCATATCCTTTTTCTTGCAGCTCCAGTCAGCCTGAGACCAGGTCCCCCCACCCCACCCCGTCTCCGCGTAGCCATGAGTGCGGAGGTGAAGGTGTCAGGGCAGAACCAGGAGCAGTTTCTGCTCCTGGCCAAGTCGGCCAAGGGGGCGGCGCTGGCCACCCTCATCCACCAGGTGCTGGAGGCCCCTGGCGTCTACGTGTTTGGGGAACTGCTGGATATGCCCAATGTTAGAGAGGTGGGTGCTGTCCCGGGGAGCCCGCGGGGAAGCGCTGGGCAAAAGTTTCTGTTTGAGAATGGGTAGGGTGGACTCATTTTGCAAATAAGTAGCGGTTCAGTTGCACAAAGGCTGTTATCATGATTAACTACTAAGTTGCAAATGTAAGCCAGCAAGTGAAACCTAATACTTTTGGGTAAGTAAAAGCCTTCTTCAGAATGGGCTACCAAAGTTCTAGCCTGTCTCCACCAGGGTAACATCTAATAATTGGGACACCTTTATTTTAGGGTCTTTGTTTTCTCTTAAAAATGGAGGTGAAAAACATCTTTGAAAAAGGAGATGACTGGGTGTGTAGCTCAGTGACAGTGCTTGTGTAACGTGTGAAGCCCTGGGTCTGAACCACAGCACCACCAAAAACTTAAAAAGATGGTACTGACCCCACCATTATTGTGGGAGTTAGATAGCTCATGGGACAGGGTCGAGCCTGGTACACATGGAAGGAATGAACGTGTTAAATTCGCATCGCTGTTCTTTGGGTAGCGTATAACCATTGAGGTAGGAAGTGTAAGGGAGAAGTTATCCTTTCCCAAAGACACATGGCAAGCTACTAAGCATGGCAGAGAGAGCAGTTCACACAGATGTGACAAGTGAAGGTGTAAAGCAGGTGGGTCACTGAGATCTATGGCATCAGCCCCTATCCTGAAATACCATGACAGTGGTACATGGGTAAACTGTGAGCCAAAGTTCTGAAAGCCTGTGGTTGAATCAGTGGATGTAGCCCTTTTGGGTCTTTTTGGTACGGACAAGACTGGCCCTGGTACCAAGGATTCAAACTCAGGACCTTGCACTTGCCCAGGCAGGTACAGTGCTGCTGAGTTACATCCCGGGTCGTAGACTGTGGTCATCTTAACCCTGCTTTTTTCTGCAGTGGAACTTAAAAAAAAAATTAACAAAAGTGAAGAAAAAGAAGCACTTCCTCTGGTTTAAGCTCGATCCTCTTGCCTCAGCCTGCCAAGTAGCTAGGATTACAGCCACATGCCACTACGCCTGGTTAAAAAAGCACTTCCTAATGAGTGCTTGTTTAGTAATCTGCCGCTGGTCTGGTGGGACATACATTTCTCTAGCTTACATTCCATTTGGAGAAGTAGTCAGAGTGGGTGTCACATCTTGAAGTCATTTATTTAACAAGTATCTGTGGAGAGAACAACTACATGTGTAGCTGCTAGGTTCTAGAGGGATGCCAGAGACTAATCTCCTGAAGGAAAAGATACTCGGGTAAGAACTTCTATAGAAAGTAAGAGAGGGCCAGGGATTTAGCTCAGTGCCACTGTGCCAGCCTCACAATTGCAAGGTCCTGAGTTCTATCCCTGGTACCAGGAAACAAGAAAAAGAAAGTGCAGGCTAGAATGAGTGAGCCCTGTTAGGAGGAGAGGAAATACGGATTAGCTGCCCTAAGGGAACAGTGCCTCTGGGCAAGGTGGGCCTGTGGTGGAGGCTGTAACTGGGTGTGAGTCCACGGCCAAGGTGGCCAAGGTGGCCAAGGTGCAGCCAGTCGTCTGGTGAAGCGGGGCAGTACAGATTCTGACTGAGCAGTCATGCAGTTTGCAGCGTGCAGCTGTGTGTCCAGCAGATTCTGAGCAATGTCCCCGCCCTAATTCGGATGTGTAGGAGTTGGATGGTGGATGGAGGGAGGGCTTGGAGGTGGCCGTGCACCCTTCTTAGGGGAGCATGACCAGATGAGAGAGCCAGGAGAGGTGACATGGGCTGGGAGGGGGGCCAGGGCGTCCTGCCTGTCACTTCTCTTCCCTCCTGCCCTGTCGCGCAGCTGGCGGAGAGCGACTTTGCTTCCACCTTCCGGCTGCTCACTGTCTTCGCTTATGGAACATATGCCGACTACTTAGGTAACTGGCAGGCTGAACTTTGGAGCAACAGAGGTGGGAGAAGGGTGGATTCAAGGGGGATTTAGGACAAGGGCTGAGGCTGTAGCCCAGTGAGGAGGCCCTTGGTTCGATTCCCAGTACCACCGTCCTGTGCCTCTGTTTCTGAGGTGGGATACTTTTACTTACTTTGCCTTAGAACCAGGCATGTTCAGGCCAGGACTAGGAGAGGGGCCTGTGTGCCTGGGCAAGGGAACCAGGGAAGCCCCTCCTAAGTTGGATGGGTAGAAGTTGGATGGTGGATTCCCAGTATCACACACAAAAAAGTTCTTTTGATGCCCCACTCATACTCCAGGGGTTTAGGGTCAGGACCTACCGTGATGTGGAGCAGACAAGCAGGGGAAGGAAGCTGGGGTTTCCCGCAAAACTGAAAGTAGTACTCCCTAATTCTGTCCTTTTTCCTCAGCTGAAGCCAGAAATCTTCCCCCACTCACAGAGGCGCAGAAGAACAAGCTTCGACACCTCTCTGTCATCACCCTAGCCGCCAAAGTCAAGGTGAGTGACAGTTACCCCCATGCAAAGCCTGAGAGGCCAAGCGCACCCTTCTGTGCATCCAGGGAGTCAGTACCAGCCAGGCTGCCTCTCTGTGCCTCCCTTCTGCTCTCAGCTCTGTTCCTGTAGCCTTTCACTCTGAATATTCTTGGTTTCCTATTTTGTTTCCACTTAAGATATAAGTAAACATCTTTGTGTTTTTTATCAAAATGGCAACTGGGATGCTGAGCATGGGCTGCTGCACCCCGCCCACCCCCTGCAGTGTGGACAGGTCCCTGCCAGCACAGTCTGGAGCTGGGCAGCTTCCCTCCTTTGTTCCAGTTAGAAGTGTAGAGCCCAGAAGCATGTCTGTATTCCTGTGTTTTGTTAACACCTTCCCTGGACTCCCACTTTACCCCCAGTTGGACAGGGTACTGGCTGTTGCATTATCATTCACAGTTTTCCTGAAATCAGCCGTTTTCTGTTTGGGGAAGGAGGCGGGGTGTAGATGACAAGCGAGCACTATACCTCCAGATCCTGCTGCGTTGGGCTGATCGCAGCCAGGGGGTGTGGGTTAGTGGGGGCGTAAGGCTGGTGGGGAGAATCAGCCTGTGTTTTATTAAAGACCGTCCTGTGCCTCTGTTTCTGAGGTGGGATACTTTTACTTACTTTGCCTTAGAACCAGGCATGTTCAGGACAGGACTAGGAGAGGGGGCTGTGCGCCTGGGCAAGGGAACCGGAAGGGAGGGCAATTTAGGGAAGCCCCTCCTGCTGCCAAATCCTCCAAAGCCTGACCTGCCCCTCACCCCAGTGCATCCCTTACGCGGTGCTGCTGGAAGCCCTGGCCCTGCGCAACGTGCGGCAGCTGGAAGACCTTGTGATTGAGGCCGTGTATGCCGATGTGCTTCGCGGCTCCCTGGACCAGCGCAATCAGCGGCTGGAGGTGGACTACAGCATCGGGAGGGACATCCAGCGCCAGGACCTGAGCGCCATTGCGCGCACCCTGCAAGAGTGGTGAGGCTGCATCCGGAACTGGTGGCAGTTCTCCTGCCACAGCCTCCCAAGTGCTGGGTTATAGGCATGCACCACCATGCTCAGCTTTATAAGGGATCTTAACTGGGAGGCACAGGCTGGATTCAGTCCCTCAGTTTGTAGCACCAGTGTCTGTAAGCTACATGCCTCTTCCTGTTCTCTTTCTTTTTGTGTCCCTGCCTGACTTTATGTTCCTTTCTTTTTTGGCAGTGCTGGGATTAAGCTGAGGGCCTTGTGCAAGCCAGGCGGGCTCTGCTGCTGAGCCACAGCCCTCAGGCTCTGCAGACCTAACTCACCATTTGTGTTTTGTTTCCACTTCCTGTTCCTCGCTTCCCCTTAGGGCCCCCTCACCCGGCAGCCCTGTGAGGGTGCCACCTAGTGAGGGTGCCACCTAGATGGGGCTCGCCTGTGCATGGTGCCTCACAGGTCTGAACCCCGGCTGACCACTCCACGTTGCTGCAGGTGTGTGGGCTGTGAAGTTGTGCTGTCGGGCATTGAGGAGCAGGTGAGCCGCGCCAACCAGCACAGGGAGCAGCAGCTGGGCCTGAAGCAGCAGATTGAGAGTGAGGTGAGCCCAAGCTGGTGCCCGTCCTGGCGGAGGGTTTGGGACGCAGCGGTTGGACTGACAGAGCTACCCAGAACCTCTCTGCTCACCCCCTGGGCCCTTCCTCCTGGCAGGTCGCTAACCTTAAAAAAACCATTAAAGTCACCACGGCAGCAGCAGCCGCAGCCACATCTCAGGACCCAGAGCAACACCTGAGCGAGCTGAGGGAACCCGCTCCCGGCGCCAACCAGCGCCAGCCCAGCAAGAAAGCCTCCAAGGGCAAGGGGTGAGCTTCGGGCTCCTGCTGCCCTGCAGCACCCTGGGGCTCTGCTCTCTGGTCCTTTGCGTGGTGCAGCATGGTCGGGGCCTTAGGGCTGGGGAGCCCCTGCATCTTCTCTCTCTCTCTCTGTCTCTCTCTCTCTCTCTCTCTCCCCCATGCCAGGCTCCGAGGGAGCGCCAAGATCTGGTCCAAGTCGAACTGAAGGGACTGTCGCTTCTTCCCAGGGGATGCGGGGTCCCAGCCGCCCACCTCCTCGGGTGTCCTCGGCCCCTTCCTGGGCCCCGGCCAGCTGACCCTAGTTCATGACCTTCCGCCTCCTTCGCCCGCTGGCGTAGGTCTCAGCTCACTAGGGAGGCAGCCAGTACAGGTCGTGTTTTTGTTGGTACTTGTTGTTTCATGTGATTTTCTTCTGTGTCCCCCCGCCCTGTCTCCCTGCCATGCTCTTATGTCTAAGAGCTCAGCCTCTGTCCCTCTCCATGACTTCGTCATTTGGTGGGTGTGGTCCTCATGGGGTTGCTGTGTCTCCAGCATAACCCACAGGGCTTCTTCTGCCCCCATCCCTGCATGACTGACCCCCAGCTCCTGCTCTCTATCCACACCTCTGGGGCAGCGCCTCTATCCCACCCTGAGGATTCTGGGAGCCAGTCTGCCTTTTGAGGGTCACTGGGCACTTTGATCCCAGAATCATCACACTACAGTTGTTTCCTGTCTCTTTCCCGTGAGTCCTGGGAACACCGCTGCCTCCCGGAGCCCAGAGCCTGAGAAGGACAGCTGTTTCTTAGGGGCTGACAGATGGTTTTGGGTCTGACCATCCTAGGAAGCTGGATGATGATCCTGGAAGGGTGTAACCCTTTCTGCATTTGCTGGAAAGGGGAAGGGAATGTAGATTGTATTTAAAAAAAAAAAAAAAAAAAAAAAAAAAA